GTTAAGTGAAATTCCCCCATAGAGAACATTGTTAAACGATGGGGGAAATTCCTCAAAGAAACCCATCGCTGGGTGAATTCGTCGTTGTATGAAGCAATCGTTGTGCGAGGCACCACTGTATTTCTTATCCCACCCATTAGGTTCCAAGGCTCCCTATAGATCCTTTTTTTCCCCTGGGGAAGCCTTTCAAAGCTTCAGGATAGGACGAGGAAAGATTTTAATATTGGGAAATTGCCATCAGCAGTCACAGTGTTTTCCAATAATAAATACTTCTCCTGCTCACTATCCAAGTCTCCCAAACGCTTCCCCAGGTGAAAAGCAATTCCTAGGAAGCTTCAGAATCTTAAACAGGGATATGAATGTTTAAAAGGTAACAGTGTCATCAACTGGCAATGTTAATCTTTAATCTAAAGCAGTGATGGCGAACCTTTTTGGCCTCGTGTGCCCAAAATGGGGGGGCACAGCGGGTGGCGTGCCGCCGCCAGACCCAGACCTAGAAGATTGGAACCGGAAGTGGCGGTTTAAGGGGGAATCATGGCAACGGACCCGGAGGACCAGGAAGTGGTAGCGGAAGGGGGAATCCTGGCTGCAGCCACCTCATGAGGTTTGGCTGGGCAGGGGGGCAGGGGTAGTAGGGACCTATGGCTCACGTGCCAGAAGAAAGGGCTCTGTGTGGCAGCTGTGGCACGCGTGCCGTAAGTTCACCATCACTGATCTAAAGGCACCAGTTTATGACGCCATCATCACTTATGCCCAGCTGAGTTGTGCAACAGGATTTCAGCCACTATATCTGACAGACATTAACAATATCATTTTAAAAGATTACTTATGCTGACATTAACATATCTTTGATTTTGCTGTATTGAGATGACATTTATTAAATTAAATATATATGTATTATATCATATTTGAACTCAAAAATAATTTGAAATTAATTCTTATCCATCCTGTGGCAATGGGAAATGGGAGTGGGAACATGGAATGCAGTATCCTAGGAGATATGGCTGAGACACTGAAGAG